ACGAGTAACTCTGGTAAAGAAAGAAAAACTAACTATCCTGATGTTTCAAATGTTATACATTATATTTGCTTATTCGTATTTGAAATGTATGTTTGAAAAATGTATTAATGAACAGAATAAGGAAAACTATTGTAATTTATATTATCAATGCAACAAAGTACAACAAATAAATGAGTCCCTCAAAAACACTCTATAAAGCTTTTGTGACGTCGCTGTGTTCCTGGCTCAAAGAGACTTGCTGCTTATAGCGCACGGAATTAATTTGCCAATAGAGCACGCCTTCAAGTTGACAAAGGTGCTTTGACGAGGTGCTCTCGAGAATCCCTGTGCAAGGCTTGAAATTATTTTAGCGACTAAACGACAATAGGGAAATATTGAGAAACACAAAATCAGCAACAACGATTCTATAATACAAGAAACGCATAAACGCGAAAAAGTATGTCACTTTAAATAATTGATTTTATATTAAGAAATAACAATCCAAAATAAAACTTATGAGAACTTGCTTGTTCACGATTATCTATCTATGTCTCTATTCTCGAAGTAATGATAATGATTAGATTCCCGAGAGGTGCGGGACGTTCGACCGGCGAGCCTCGGGCTCAGGCATGGCCACCCACCACGGACGCTCCCTACCCAGAATATTGTAATTAAACAATACTGGTTCCTTTATTTTGATAACGCACGATAATACAGAATTGGACCACGATATAAACTTCTGATGTACTACAAAGATTTGCTGTGCTTACCTTTCAATTGTTAAATGATATGGTTTTTAAAATAGAAATAACAGTGAGTTGTTGTCCAATTGATTGTCAATATTGATAATTTCTTTTATATATTTGATTTGTTCGAACAATAAAAACATTCCTTTTCTATTTAAGTATTGCCTCTATTTATAGTTTGTTCTGAATTGACGCAGAGTCACGCATATCTTGAGTTTTGATATCTCGTAAACTAGTTGACCCAATTTTGATAGTTTCCAAAATGTTCACGGTCATTTAGGAGTCTATATTTAAAAAAGCTATTAATTTATATAAATATTAGTTTATATATAAAAAGTATTTTCACCTACTAAACGCACGTTTCAGAAACAAGCATTACCAAAATACTCAAAAGAGGGAGTGGTATAGACAAATACAATATAAAATTCTATGACCAAGTTTATAATAAATTATAAACTTACTATAACATTCCACACCTGCATCAAAAGGGCGCGGGCGCAATTGTCACGGTGTGATCAGATCAAGCGTCAAGCGGCAGACGAGCCCGTGCGACCGTGCGACAGGTCTCCGATTATCAACGCATTCTGCACGGTGTCAACCTGTCGCTACCATTCCTACAATTATGTTTGAACGGGCAGCATCAATGCCTCTCGATTAGACTAAATGCATTTCTGATAGTAGACCTATTGCATATAATAAGTCAGTCTACTATCAGAACTTCATAGTATATCAAATATTATCTGATTTTACCGTATTAACCATAAGAATATACCATCAAAATTGTCAACAGTAACCAATAAACTTATTGTAACTCGAAAGAATTAAGATGAATCACGTACATAATGTTAAAATAGGTACGCCTAAATCTTCTTAATTTCGTATTCCATTTATATGTATTTCTGAGGGTCGGTTTTTTAATAACGATGATTTTATCTCAGTTTGCTTTTTTTTTTAGATGATCTTCAAGGAGTTTTCCATGACTATGTCTTCGATTGTATTTCGCCAATAGTGGGTTAGAGACCCTATTCTACACCAGTTAGTATATGGCTTCAGTGCCTTTATAGAATCCTAACGTGAACAATAAAAGGTATCATACTGATAAACTTGAAATTCAATAGGTATTGTAATTATAAAGGTTTCAATTTAAACTTGAGAATTTACAACAGTTTAAAAGGAAACATTTTAATTATTTTCTTTTGCAATCGACAAAGTTTACTCTCATGTCGTCTTCGTCTCATATCCTTAGTCGTACATGCAATTGCAATTCATTCGTTTTAAACTAAAAATAGTTAAATTATCGAATGAATATTGATTTTATATTAATTCAGGCTGTTTTTGCTTTTTTCTTACGTTTTTAGATACACGAAAAAAATTTAAAAACATCTTATTACAAATAACTAAATAAACAAATCCGATAAAATACGCAAGTCGTGATATATGTACGAAGGCATAACAATTAATATCTGGATCATTTGGTTGCGGTCGTGATGAGAACGTTGGTTCGATCCTCGTGACAGCAGCCAATGGGACTTGTCGCTACGCGGTCATGCTCTATTGCGCGATTCGATCCGACAGGTGTATGAACTACGGACTTCTAAAAGTGCCCATTAGACGATCACTTATTTCTATCAGTCATAAACAATGTTAGTAAATGTGTTGTCAGGTGTGTCCATACAAATTATTTTAAATACTCTGTAGACCGGACAACACAACAGTATTTTACTCGTATTTGAATAAAGTAAATTATAGATTTGATGTTTTTATTGCATTTTACCATATACTCTTAATAACTGACCCGGTAAACGTTGTTTGGCCCCCTTCCACCACCTACTGGGTAATTTTTTTTTTCTTATCAGAACAAACTATTCTTTCACTCGAATTGAGGCAAACAATACGTATATGTTTACAAAATTTGAATAAAATCGGATGAGCGGTTTCAGAGATTAGCGTGAACGAACACTGTGACACAAGATTTTATAAACGTGAAACGCCAATGTCAAATAAATTAATATATAACATATTCATAATTCAATTATTTCAATTTTAAAATATACAGTAATTACGACATAAAAAACATATGAAATAAAGTATCCATAGGATATTAAGGTATCAGATACATAACAATGATTATGAATTTAGTAAAGTTATTATATTATGATATTAAAGGTCTCCGCAAAAGACCACAAGCATATTCGGGGGAGGAGAGGACTGATGAGCCGCGCCCATTTAAAAAGTAATAAATGGAAGAATAGAAGTTGGAATCATAATAGAATGACTAAAAATACAGATACATAAAATACAGCTAGTGAAGTAAAACTCTAGTAGTTTTACTAAGATAGTGCGATCTCAAAATAGAAAAAAATACAACATTTTTTTTTTGTTCTGTGTATGCAATCATATAGATTGATCGTGACCCGCGGCGAGGACTAATGTTTCAACCACGAAAGGGTTGCAGTTGTACGCTTCTCACACAAAATCTTGTAATTTAAATGAAGCAATCATTATCCTAAAATTATTTAGCCTAAAAATGTTCCTGTACACATTATAGAAAATAGTTTGATTATTTTTTAAGCGTCTTTAAATTGGAGGAGGTTCTTAAATCAGCTATAATATATTTTTTGTATGTACACATACCTTAAGCGATATATTCAACAATTCTAAACAGATTTAATTAATTTGATTTCCAATCAATATTCTCCACTTCTGTATTTTTTTTACAATCCCTATTTACGACTATAATATGATACAATATCCCAATTATTATAAAAATCTACCTAGAAACTTCCTTTTATTTATTATATGTAATAGTGAATGTGGTTATATTTAATATATAATATAATTTATAGTTCGATATTACATCCTGAAGATTTAAAACAATAATGTAAACTCGATCTTCCGGATGTCAGCGCAACATATCGTACAATTTCTGTTGAAATTCACTTCTTTTGACTATATATAAAATAGAGGACATATCAAATTAGATAAGATATTAGATCCTTTTATTGGTTAAGATATATTGAGTTTAAAATATTTGTAAAATTAATCGTTTGATTTTGATTCCTAAAATTATTAATTATTTTTGGGGATAATTCATGGGACGAAGTAAATTTCTATTACGTATGTTGTAAATAGGTACAATAATATATATTACTATTTAATAAGTATCTACATTAAATTAAATCTATACAATACTTCAATAAATAGGTATGTATTTATATATTGAAATAAATTTTCATTCATTCATTTTTTTTAATATCTAGTAGAATTATATGTATTTCAATATCTAGTAGAAGTCAAATTAATATGAAAGTAATTATGCCCATAACAGTCACAGCTGGACGCGTCACATCACTAAAATTAAAAAACAATGTGCATGCAGCGCGTCCCTATTCTCTCCCTGTCATTATCCCAATCCACCCTCGATTGAGACGTTAGAAGATTATGACTTAATACACCTCAACAAAAACTAAACACAGCGTAGGGGCAAAAAACGTAAAAATAATAAATGTTACTCGGGACGACTTGCTTCACTTCCAGTCGCTATATCATATTGTAAAGTTTTTATATTGATCTTTGGAGACACGTATTCGTTAATTTTGTTTTTATTGCATTAAATTACTATTTTATGTCTATAATGTTAGATAAAACGTATAACCTCCAATAAATTTTTGAACTGTTTATGTTTTGTCACTTTCTTGTAAGTTATGATTGGAAAAGACGTCATTAACTAAAATAAATTCACGTTTTTATGATGAATAAGTAGATAAAAACATTAAAGTGATTATATTATATAAACAGGGCAATTTAAGAAATTAAGATATAATGAATACAAAATAAGATCCAGCCAACACCAAAATCTAAAAGATCCAAATCACTAGAACTTCGCGTATATTCCGATTTGGAATTCCTACATAGAGATTTATCAAATACTGCATGTAATGCTGTTAGGTCGTCGTCTATCTCCATCTATTTGGAGTTAAGTTCACAATATATAGCATTTAGTACATAAATCATGAACCTCATTTTAAGCAACCTAATTTCTATTCATACATTAATAACTAACGAATAAAATTAAATAAAACCAATTCACTGTTCATCCCAAAGGTTGACTGGTAGAAAATGGTACTAGCATTAAGTGCGCCTCTTGTACCTAATTTTCTTTTGATTTCTAAAATTTAAGTTATTTAAATAAATATATAAAATATGTTAAATCGAAAACATTAAAGTAAAAATTACGTTCAGAATCTAAAAATATAAAAAAAATTGTGGACTTACCTCCATTTCCAGCGTTAGTAATTGTCACCCAAAAGTCGATGGTCTTCTCAGGTCCCAACTCCTCATAGTCCCACTTCTTTTTAACTTTCACTACACCACTAGGTTCAACGGTAACCCACGGATTCTCGTCACGTATTTTGAAAGTCTCACGATCAGTTTCCTTTTCCAACGTGAAAACAGCACGTCCTTCCACCTCACCATCGGCTTCCGTGAACTCAATACGTTTTGTGGGTCGGACTGCACGAGTAACACGACGCTTCTCGCGGTGAAGCGTTGGAAGACCTCTTCGATCACGCACCACAAACTCGAGAAAAACGCGCGCGGGTCGGCTTACACGCGGCGGAGAGCCAGTATCATGAGCAAGAACTCGTAATTCTGCTTCATGACTGTCCGGTTCACCAGCTAATATCAGTTCCCCAGTTTGAGGTACTATAACGACAAGATTACTAGGATTCGTTAGCGAGTAGTAAACACGATCACCGTCTGCATCAAATGCATGAACTTTTCCAATACTTGAAAACCTTTGCCAACGCGTAGTTCCATTAGGTCCATTTTCATCCGGAGTTCCATTAACGGCGAAATAGTATATGCTTTGCTCAAAAAGTGGCTCATGATCATTCTCATTTGTCACGTCTATTCTTATAGGAAGATTTGCCTTGTTCGCCCCGTGAAGGTCTGTAGCTTGCACAACTAGATTATATGAACTCTTTTTCTCCGCATCTAAAGGACGTGTTGCGATTATTTCTACATCTCCTTCTGTAATAACTGATCTTACTGCAGGAATAGACACATCTTTGGCTTTGTCTCGCAGAGAAAATACTGATTCGTCATTTCCTTTTACAATTTTGTAAGCTATTGGACCTACGTCTAGAAACGCTGTAGCTCGAATATTTGGCATATCGACAACAGTCCCGGCAGGGGCATTTTCTGGAATCTCTCCCTGTAAGCCATTACTTGAGGGAAAATGTAGCATTTTCCGACGATCCATTACTAGGAGATGAATGGAGTGAGCTGAGCTGCTATACGGAGTTTGTTCTAAGACAGCAAGATTCAGTGGTTGATTTAAAAGTGGCGAGAGATCAGCAGTAGTCATAAGTAGGCCATCGTCTAATAATGCGAAATATGAGGCATATTGTGGATCAAGCAGTGTATAGCGGGAATGATTTCCGACAAAATGGCGAACAGCATGACCGGGTCGAACGTCGTGTGGTAGCAGGGTGAGCGCGCGCGTCTGCAGCACCAGGCTCAGGGCGCAGAGCAGCGCTCCGCCCGCCAGCACAGTGCGTGCCATTGCTCTTACTTGAACCTTACTTAATATAAGTTATCATACCTACAAAATAAACGATTACTTTATTAATATATTTGGGAATTGGTATTTGCTTCTCAATAGTTATTTGATAAGTAGGTTCCTAATGTCAGCAAGTCAACACACTTAGTTAGGATGACAACTATAAAGGAAAGTATATAGCACGATTTATATGACGGTTTTTTTAATATAATATTATTTTTAAAGATACTGCGACATAAGCATCGTACTGGCCCTAAAGAAAACTTCCAGACGAAGTCGAAACAATTATCGGAAACAACAAATACGTTAAATTCCCAACGTAGTAAATACATTAAATTCCCGTCATCAGTTACGTATTTATTATAATTGTCTTGACTTGTTTATGTGAAACAAATTGCATAAAAACACAAATAATCACTTAAATAACAGTAGTATCTTATTTATTCAGTACTATCAATTACGTATACTGCGATACTACCTAGATACCACCTACTGTGTTACTTATAGATATATATAATATACCATTACCGTAGACACAGAGGACTTTGATTATCGAGTATAAATTTCAGCCATTGCTCAAACTGAATGAAAAATGGTAAACCGAATATAGACTAAAATCAATATTATTCATGTTTCAATTTTTGCCCTTAAGTTAGGCTCTAGAAATTTGACTTCGTACATTTTTATTAGAAGTTCCTACATAGATACAATTTTGTAGGAAAATCTTTGGAAAAGTGATGATAACAGCATTTAAGCGATTTATATACATATATAAGGGTTAAATGTTTATTTTGACTTGTTTGTTGTAAATTATATATCTATATAATGTAATTATGTTACCGACAATCTATATAATCCGGTATTCTACACAATACCTACGTAATGTATGAAATATTTTTTATTTTATACTCTGCCTATCACACAGTACATTAGCCGCATAGGTTCGACTTAATAGGCGGACAAGATCTCCACCCAGTGGGTGCCTACAAATGGACAGTTTCACGAATATAGGTATTTTGCGAAGGTATTCTATGCAATACCGAATACGCTGCCGGTAATGTGTGTAAAAATAGAGGGAAATGATATCAACAGTCTGAAATTTTAGAAGAAAAAAAAATACAAAAGCTATCGATAATAAGTGGCCCTATTTATTATTATTTGATTATTAAAGCATTATATTTCTTTAACTTTCGATAAAAAATGGAAGTTGATATATCCTGTGAATAGGTACTTCAAATATCAAATAACATAACCTAACCTAAAAATAAATATATACTTTTTAATGCAGTAATTCTTAAAATCTGTTTAAGTAACTTACTCATTACCAGTGAACCAGCAGGACGTACTCTTTACAACCTCTGTTTTAAAATCTACATTGCCCATACATCCCAGTTAAATATTTTATACCGACATTGTCTAGGTATTGTACAGAATATCTGAATTATAGATTGCCGGTAACTATATAACATGAACTACCATTTCATAGACTGAATTATTCGATGATGCCTACAGTCACTTCTTAGTGTTCATATTACATGTTGCTATGCAACGGTTACTGCCGTGGTAGGTATGTACTACAAATTTCCAAATTGAACGCTGAGGGATATACTCTGTTACAAAGGTACTACTCTGTGTGATATGCAATACTTAAATACCTGTACATACTTACATATACCTATTCAATCAATCTTTTTTGTGGTGTCACGCTCACCCTATTTAAATTGAAAGTTGCACAGTATTTTTCCTGCGGCTCTCGGCTATAATAGCGTAGCAAAATAAGTGTGTAAAAATGGATCTTTATGTTTATAAGGATCAAATCATTTAATTAACGGTAGAAGTTCATAGTAAACAGTAAAATTGCAATCATGTATGACGTGACGGCATGACGGCACGGCAGCGAAGGCGTCGTCAGTGGCGGCGGCGGGTTGGATCGACGTAGGGCGTCGAGCGCGAGCCGCACACATGGGGAGCTTTATTTAGGCGGCAGTAGAGATGGGCAATCCACCTGGGTGGGTTTAAAGTCTGGTGGGTAAAAACCGGGTGTTTTGGGTTTATTGGGTTTAAACCCCATAAACACCCAAATTTTTGGGTGTTTATGATTTTGTACTTCATCATCGTCATCTCAGCCGCAAGACGTCCACTATACTGGACATAGACAATATTATTATGCAGCCTACAGTATAAAAAACTTTTAATTTGATTTTGAGTTTATTAAGAAAGAGATGAAAGTAAAATGTAAAACTACAGTCAATCACTGTCAGATTCAGAGTTATTACAAGCGATGAATTGTATAGGTTCGATAGGCTCTATTTCGTCTAAACTGTTATGTTCATTTACTTGCTCAATGAAAGCTTCTAAGGTATTTTCTTCATTAAACTGAATGTCCTCGCATTCAGCTTTATGTTTAAGATTCCAGTTATAACAAATGAATGAAATTTTTTCAGTTCTTTCAGTTGTAAGTCGATTTCTTTTGTTATTATGTATGTAGCCTTGGATACTAAAGGAACGCTCAGTGGCTGCCGAAGTACAGGGAGCTGATAGAATACGAATCGCTACTTTGCTTAACTCAGTGGAACCACAAATACCTTTCCACCATATTAGGGGCTCAATGCTATCTAATGAGCTCCATACAAATCCTCTGGCCCAAAAGTTTTCTTTAGCTTTATAACACGCCAAATCTGCCATTACATTTGACAAACTTAAGTGTTGGCTTAAATTGTAGATAAACTCCATACCCTTAAGTTCTTCCTCTTGAGTAAGTTCGACTCCTAGAGTCCTGGGGTCTAGAATATATGCTGCAAAATGTATTGGCCTCATTGCCATATTGCATCTTGAAGATACTGATGTTAGAATCTGCTGTTTGCTTTCTTCGCTCAATGTCGAAATCTCATTTAATGCAAAACGTATCTTAAAACATCTCTAAATGTAATGTATGTGCGATGCAAACGATTCTGGTCGCTCTCTAAGTAAAATATGCTTTCAGTGACTGGTTCCAAAATACTTATACATTCCCCTGTCTTCGTCCAGAAATCATCACTTAGAATTAAATCTTTAATATCTCTTGAAATTACCACATCTTCTCTAACTGTTAATATTTGCAAAGCTATCTTATTTGCTTTCAAACTTTTTAACGAAGTAACATGACTTCCCCATCTTGTAGCACAAGGCAATTTTAGTGTTTGTGTAGAATCTTCACCCTGCCTTGATTTTATCAACAAGGAACTTAATCGTTGACTCCTTTTAATTTTTATTATATTTATGGCTTGCATAATAAACACAGTTACTTCTTGTATCTTTACAATATCTTGGCACAACAAGTTAAGGATATGTGCACAGCAACCGAGAGGAACAACATGTGGATATTTGAGTTTTGTTAATTCGAATGCCTTTTGTATATTTCTAGCGTTATCGCCAATAAGTACAAGAAACTTATTTGCTCCATACACTTTCATTACTTTTTCAACTTCTTGGCTAAGGTATTCACTAGTGTGAGGATTACTTTCTGTATTCAAACTTTTAACGTATGCAGGTTGAGGTTTTGATATAAGAAAGTTTATTATTCCTTCATTTCTTAAATTAGACCAGCCATCGCACTGAAGGTGTAAGTAACTACAAGCATTTAGTTCCTCATTTAACTCAAAACGCATTTCTCTATATATTTTATCTAAGTATTTTGTCGCTAAAGCTTTACGTGAAGGTATTTTAAATTTTGGTTGCAATTTTTCGAAAAATTGTATCCATAAAGGATGTTGCACCATCGATAATGGCGTCCCTGTTACAAATATAGCTCTCGCTAATTCTGTTTTTATATGATCATCGGTGTCTTGAAACTCAGCATTTATTGTAGTGTTAGCAGACGACGAGGGGCTTATAAAAGAATCATATCTCTGACAGTCCAGACATTTTGGTTTTGGACGAACTATCTTTTATAAGTTTCATAGAGTCTTTTAATGTTTCTGGAGATTTTGGACAAGTGATAAGAAGTTGAAGCATTTTGGCAGCATTACTGAATTTGTAGACCTTATTACAAAGCTTGCAAGAAACAGACTTGTTTGGTAAAGTACGGTAGTGCTCCCATATGCGTAAATCTTTAGGTCTCCCCATTGAACCTAAAAAAATGAACGATGATTAGTTGGTCTGACGAAAATTCAACAATAGAGTGCCTATTTTTTTACAATGATTATTTCTTGTTATTTACAATAAATTTATTAAAAAAATAATAAAATAAATACAAAAAACCTTTGTAAAATTACATCTCCTCGGAGGATTAAACGCAGACGCTAGTTTATTATCGTATTGTTCTGTATTTTTCTCAGCAACTTCTTTAATTCGATTAGGTACTTACGCATATTATGTTAAAAATAAATATCTAGTACACATCTTAGGCTATCCACCATTATTATCCAATGACGACTCTCAGCTAACTATGCACTATCATCCAAAATAAACGTGTATGGAAAATTTTATCCCAGTCGGTTGAGGATTGAGGATAATTGCATCAACATACGAACATACCTACATACTTTTATTTACATAACGCAAGCTAAATAAAAGATTGTAATAATACATCTAATTTTAAGTTAAAATTGTTAAGTGATCATGATATAATTGTATCATTCAAAAATCCACTTACCTTTAATTATTTCTTGTTAAGTATAAATATTATTTCAAATCTGCTCCCTTAATATGCACTTTTTTACTGCTTTTCCTATAACACGTTACCAGGAAGTCACGTTACCAGAGTCAGAGTAATAGTGAACACGTTTGACAGTGATTGTCGTCGCCTCATATTCAGCGTCGACGAATAGGGGAATCCCCAGTCATAATGTATTGCATGCGTGGCGGTCTTACTTCAAATCCATAAACAAAGAGATAATTACAGAACTCGATACTAGATGGCGCTGTTTTTGTTTGAAGAAAGTTTGCGGGCTAAAATACATAGAATTTCATCAATGACTTCCACAAAGAACAACATTTCTGTTTTTTCTAAGTCCGTATCTCTTCCGTATATTTCATAAGATATAAGCTTGGGCTACATTGTTATGCAACGTGATTTTGTCGCTGTCTTGCTAGCAGGGTTGACAGATATACGATTTAAATCGTACTCATACTATTATTTGTCTATTTTTTAATGTACGATCGTAAAGATTATGATCGTAATTCGCACAAAAACATACGACTTTTTGGTTACCTGGCAACATTTTTATTATGAAACGAACATGCTCACATCATCAGTCACATGCAACAATTTATTGGGGATTTCCCCTTCACATCTGGCAGTCCTGCTTGCTAGAATATAGGTAAGTCAGCCACAGTTACTGACGATCGATATTTAAAGGGTATTGTTTTTGTGCTAAATATTTCATAAAAACGTTATTTAATACTTTGTGGATTATTAATTTAGTTGATAATCACTGGAAGTAAAATGGATGCTAATTTGAGAGATCAAGATCTTCGTATAAAACAGTTAATAAAAGAAAATCTACGTAAGTACTCTTTTTATACCTAGGTAGGTAAGGTATAATAAACACAAAAGGTACTTAGATCGCGTGTGTTCGAAGCATTTATTCTAATAAATTTAATTTAAAATTGTAGAAAGAAAAAAATGTCTGCCAAGCCGTAGCCGAAGCCGATCTCCAAATATATTTGGCGATAGTGAGACCCAGTGTCCAGATGATTTACCCAGCGTCGTCGCAACAAAGAAAAAAAACGAGGATAAAGTAAAAGAAAATTTACTGAAAGAAGAAACAAACTGTTCTAAATGCTTAATTTATGGAGAAGAGGATAAAAGAAATGAGTATTTCGGACTGTTAGTGGCTCAAGAATTTAAATATATACGGCCATGTGTGCGAACGAGGTGTTATGAAGAAATTTTAAAGTATCTACGGGAAGCAAAAGGCCAACATGTTGATCAACTGCAACATGAAAACACTGAAAATTAATTACTTTCATTTTATTATATATAGATTTTTAAAATTTCCTGAAATATTATTAGTTAACGTTTTATTTAATATTGTAGAATTGATCAATACAATTTATAAAAATAATTTATTGGTATTACTTACATATTTTCAAAAAAATACGTAAAAACCTATTTTTTTGGGTGATTATGGGAGTTTATGGGTGTTTATTGGGTTTTTACCAAAGCACCGGGTTTAAACCCGGTGCTTTGCCCATCTATAGGCGGCAGGCGGCGACGCCGGCGTCTCGCGGCCCGCCGTGCCGCCGCCGATCAATACCCCCGTGCGCCGCCGCGCGCCTTACGCTGAGCTAATTTGAACTTTATATACACTCCCGTTCACGACACACCATCAAATATTCACACACTTATTTTACTAAGTAAAAGCTATCCTGAAATAGTCAGGATAGCGGTTCACAATTTATACATAAATAATTCACATACTTCGTGCTGTTTAATCACACTGGACTGACTAGTTATGCAGTCGATATTTAAAACATGAACTAGGTAATAACTAATTACCACCACCAATGCTCACTGTATGCACACATAAAAAATCATATGAATTTATTTAATTACACTTATCAATTAGCCGTTAACCTTATTATCATCCAAACTAAGTGGTAAACATGTGATTCGAATGTAAACAAAATACCTATATTAAATATACAAAAGCTTTCTGTGGCTTTTTTGATTAAGGACGTAAACTTAATTATACGTCCATAAAAACCGTCTTCATAAAATACGTACTTTTTAATAACGAATTCGTTTTATATCGATATCGAAGCGTTTGACAGATGCGCGCCGACAAATATCGTACAGTCCATCTACCGCGGCGTCTGAATGCGACTGGTTGTAAACGATTCCCTCAGCGCGCGCGCGTATCGAACGAACGCACTCCGTCCCACTGCCCCCGCCGCCACCGCCCCCGTAGCCACCCCTGTCCCAGCTATATTACTGAGCTTCGGCACTACCCCTGCAAAGCTGCATGCACTCCCCTTTCTTTTCTGCAGTGGATTGAATTGGTACTTTCTAGATATTTTCATATAACTGGATACACATTAAAATTGTCTCTCTGCCTATTCTGAATTCAATGATGGTACATATCTGCTTTGTGAAACTGAAAAACTGTCCTCAAGTATCCACATGTACCGAAATATGTACAAAAATATTATTCATAGGTACAAATATCTATTTAGGGGGGAAAGGGATTGTTAGTAATGGAGACTGAGAATCCCATTGCTAGCAATATACCCAACCAGGTCGACCACCTCGCGGTTCCCTCTGGAAGCTATCATGGTTAATTCCTGGTGAATTCATCATGATGGGCTACCTGGCCTGTTTTCATTCTCATCAATCACCCTTCACTGGTGCTCCGCTAGCGTATCCCGTTAGCGCAGGCGGGGTTACCATTCCATTTTCACCCATAAAAAATATCTATTTAAGTTAATAGTGTAAAAAAATTTAAATATATAATGAATATATATATATATATAATACCTTATAACCTTTTGATTCATAACAACTAAAATGGCTTTCTAACTGTACTTTATTAAAAATAGTACCATTGTCATCATATCAGCCGGCTACTGTCCTCTGCATATACTAAGCATAGGCGTCCTCTAAAGGGGGAGCTTTGCCAGTAGTTGCCACGCTTAACAGGCGGATTGGCAGCCGCAGTCAAGTCCGGGCGATGTTCTAAGAGGGACGTTCCTGCTCATCCCTCTACCATTAAGTTTCCTTAATCTCCTCTTGTGACACCCACAGAAAAGAAGGAGTAGCCTATTATTTGCCGAGACCACACGGTATAGTTTAGTTTAGTTAATACTTAGCCCTATCTACTGACTGTAGCTAAAAGAAAGATTGTTAGTAAACTAGAGGTCACAATGCTAACGATATCTGTCACTCGGGTCGACCTCCACGTGGTTCTCCCTGATAAGGGATGGGTGCAGTCGGGAGTGACAAAACGCTGAGGTCCAACGGAAGCACCGAGGTCCAAAGGAGGCGTCATAGAGTGAACAGCGCGGATCACTGATAACGACGTCCATAGAAGTTATCAGGGATCCGCGCTGTTCATTTCTTAGACGAGACGAGAGACTCCGATGACGCGGGCGCAGTCAACATTTAAGTCAGAAATATGTCAATAAAATTTAGCAACTAGTTCATATTATCATCAAATGTGCCTACAAACGCCGTCAATATCTTACTCAGAGACATTATATCAGTAAAAGGTGGTGATGACGCCTTTTATTCAGGAGGGGGAAGGGACCCCGTCTGCGCTATCGGCCAGCGTATATTGTTAGCGCAGGCGGGCTTACCATTCCATTATCATCCATAAAAAAGGCCCTGGCCAAGTTTCTGACAATGTACCCTTCCCCCCTGAATAAACATATACCAATGGGGGGAAGGGATTGTTAATAACAGGGAGGTTAGTCCCCATTGCTATCAATATACTCTAACAGGTCGACCTCCACGCAGTTCCTCCTAGAAACTATCGTGACTAATTTATCGTTGAATTCATCACGATAAGCTAACTTACCTGCCTTTTTATCCTCACGTATCATATCTTATTGGTACCCCACCAGTATATACTGAAAGCGCAGCCAAGGTAATCATACTATTTACACCAATTAAAATAACGTATACCAATAGCACTTACCAATACACTCTATCAATTCGACCTACTCGCGGTCCCCCCTAGAAACTATCATATTTAATTCCTATGATGTGCTAACTAACCTGCTTTAATTCCTAATCTATCATTCCTCACTGATGCCCCGCAGCGTAAACCCATAGCGCAGGCAGGATTACCATTCCATTATCACCTATAAAAAATAGCACAGAGCGGGGGAATATATAAATAGCAAATATTTATAAATATTAATATATAAATGGCAAATAGCCCCATTGCTACCAATACATCCTATCAAGACGTTAACACCTATTAAATAAAATTGTGTACCACATAAAAACCAAATTGTGGCAAAACTAATAATCTCAATATAAAAACTAAATTACTAAACCGATTTTAATAAATTTTATTATCCAAATCGATTTACAACTGACCGAGTTATGAGGTAACAAACATAAAAGAATAGGTACAATCGAACTGAGAACCTCTTTCTTTTTAAAGTCGGTCGAAAAAATAGCACATAGCACAAACAGGATTACCGCTCCACTTGGGAGGAACAGATTAAAGGTTAGATTGAAGGAAAGTAAGAAGGAAAAAGACCTAATTCTTAGCAATATACTCTACCAGGTTAACCTCAACGGGATCTTCCTTAATGTCCAGCGTTTAATTTCTATAAAATTGAGAACGATGGGCCAGCTGACCTGATTTCACCCTCATCTACCATCATTCACTTGTACCAATATATAAATATCGATAGTGTCGGTAGGAATACCATTCCATTATCATCTTTTTAAAAAATATTATATATGAACTTACCATTCATATAGAACCCTCATACAAGTTAATTTTCATTTAAATATACCAGGATCCAATACCCTAAATTATTTAAAGACAAACCGCAACTTTGTAGCCAAATATAAATATTTTAAGGTACCGAGCTTAAAGGTCAAAAGCGTTAGTGAGAACCTTTACCTATTTCTCTCTACCGTGAATATCTTAATAATTAGCTAATATTAAGTCAGCCCCCATTGCTAACTATAGCATATACTCTATCAAGATCAGGTCGACATGGTGCACGCGGTTTTTATCTTGCAGAATTCATCACGATAAACTAACCTACTTTCATCCTCACCTATTATTACATTATTATTACACTGGAACCTCGTCAAAGTAAATCGACGACACAGGCGGGATTACCATTCTACCATTCCATTTTTACCCGTTCAAAAAAAATTTACTACAATAGCACATTGTTCACGAGTCCCGACTTCGGTTCTCAATTGAGTTAATTAAGACAATAGACTTTTCCAAAATTGGCTAAGTTTTGAGTTTTGTCTACAGTTCATTATTCATTTTTTTAAATAGCTAATCCCATAAGAATTGGATACAAGAGTTACCATCCATCCTTATTTCTCTGGATTTATCCTTGTTTGGAACGTCCGAGCAAACTTATGTATACAGTTCCAATTTGCGAACTGTATGCAAAAGTTTTATAATTAAAGTTTCAGTATCATTTCCATACTATATTGGTCCGCTATACCAAATATACGTATGTTCAAAGATGCCTTATATAAATAAAATATGAAACGTACGGTATCCAATATCTCAATGTTAACAAAATAATTCAGGGGTATCTAAATATTGAGCTTCTCTATGATATAATGGCAACAAAAAATAAACAGAAAATTTGATATCAGTATAAATTAAAACTGACTGACTGAAATATATATATAAATTATTTATTACCTGTTATGATAAGAACCTATTATCATAAGAAATTATAATCATAAAAAATCTTATTGTACGCACACTGCCCGCTGGTAATTAATGCTCCTTGCCACTCAGGGTTTACTCGAAGAGAACTTTTACAGAGTTAAAGTCGCCTGTTGTACATAGTTGTTTAATATAAATTATATGATTGTAATTTTTTGTGTACAATAAAGTTTAAAATAGATTTTAACGAAATTTTACCATTGAGTAGTACTGTACTAGACTTTATTCTTATAGTATTCCCATAAGAATAAACAGTATGAATTGATCAAACAGTTTTTCAGCAGTTTGACCTTTACATTATTTGAAGAAGCGCAGAACGTAGACGTACTATTTACCTGTAAGCGCGGAGGGTGTATGAGGTGTAGATAGCCGCTTAAGACTTCTTCAAAATTTCTATGGAAAAGAGAAAAAAGGTCCCTGATTACCTAACTCGCAAATTGTTTGTAATAACTGAAAATAACTCAATATTTGCTGTCAATCTTCATGTTAGACTTCGTTTTATATTAGTTAAAAGCAATTAGCGAATTAACGTTGTCGCTATCGGTATATGCTGGCACCAGTGAGGGATAATAGGTAGGGACGAAGCAAGTCCGGTAGCCATCGTGATAAATTCATAGAAAATTAACCGCAATGATTTCCAGGAGACCCGCGTGAAAAATGACCTGTAAGGGTATATTGCTAATAATGGCTCTGTTAAGTCTCATTACTAATAATCTCTTCCGCCCTTCCCGATCTAGCGATTAGGAAACAACCGTGCTATGTGATAGCATTGTTTTTTAAATTAACGAAATGATAGCGCAGTGTATGTCACCATAACCCCTAGGTTTCACGCGAGCAACGTCATATGCAACCACTAATTTACGTAAAAAGTATATGAAATTAATCTAAATCTATTTCTATGAGAATACTGACTGCAGAATACTAACCGAAAGAATATGGGATGCCCATAATAATATTGTGATATAAATTTCTTATCATATATCTGAATTCATAAATAAAACAAAAAGTAATAGAAACAATTATATTAAAACAATAATATTATAGTAGACTAGTATAAAAATAGCCAAAGCTACAGCACTGAGCAAAATTTTGTGACCTAATATAAATATTAAATAAAATATACTCCATTATGAACATCATAAAATTGCTACATCCTTTACATTATTTATACACATAAACATTTCATAATCCATACAGACATTTTGCACTATGTGCTATAATTTGTGGTAACTATAGTTACCATATTCTTATAACTATATATTATGAGTGAACTGTTTGGGTCCAATATTGTCACTGCTATTTTTATATCGGATTTCCTTTATAGTCAACTGTTTTCCTTGATGTATCCTTTGCAAATGACTCCTCATGTCATATGATCTTGAGAATGAACGGTGGCATACTGGGCATTGTGTCTTTCCAGCATGAGAGTCCTTATGGAGTGTTAATGAGGTTGGATGTTTGAAACCTTTTGGGCATAACTGACAGCGAAATTTGGCTAAGTCGGATTCTGAAAAAAAAATTATTAATATTAGTGTATTACTCATATTATAGATGTTGGGGTATATTTTTACAACTAAAAAGGTGTGTTTATTATTTTACTAGTCTAAAATATATATATACTATATGATAGACCTTTATTAAATTCAATCAAAATGGCAAAAAGGTTAAATTGCTACTAGATAACATATACCTCTCAATCAGAAAGCATCTGAGTATAGTACTAGTTTTTACTTCCTCTGTGTAACAAGCATATACTGAATGATTGGGATAAAAAGTATCATTGTCCTTTTCCACACTAAATACAATTATAGTTGTCATAAAAATAAATCATGAGTAACAAAAAAAACAAGTAACAAACAATGTATAAATAAAACTATCATCAAATTTATAATATATTTATAATATTTAAAATTACAGGGTATAGAGGCATAACACCTTAGTCCTCAGAAATAGTAGTGATCATGGGTGACACAATATACTTTGTTAAGTCCACGGTACTGTTTAAATCAATAGATAAATATTACTACTTTCCATCAGGTGGACCATCAGCTTGTTTGCCAAAGTAAAAAAAATGTGTATACTTAAAAGAGTAAAAATACATGTATAGGATAAGTTTTCTTTTTTGAGAAATTTGGCAGTTGGTTCCTTGCCTACAAATCAGTGCAATGATAGAATAACAACAAGTAAAGCGCAAACTATTTTGCACTCTGCACATATGTAGAACTGTATCAGCAAATACTTCTATTTAAGAAAATATGAAACATTGTGAAATTATCTGTGAGAAATATGATGCAATTACATAACTTGCAAATTCTATAATTTTATTTATAATATCTTTAGATTGTAGATAGTATTAATTATAATTACCTTGATTTTATAGATAAGCAACAGTTTACAAACAAGAAATATTTGCCCATAATATATACATATAACAATATACATATATTAATATTATTACAATAACTATATTGTTTAAATAAAAATAATACTGAAGAGACCATGAAAGAAAATGAAATAAAATTATGGCTAATCTGCAGTAAATAAGTAAGTCCTACTAGATAAGTACCTTTTTATTTTCAGTTATATAAGTACAACATTACACTATCATACATTTTATTATGTTGTCATAAATACAGAGTGCAAGTAAAAAACGGAATGAGGACATTAAAAGTGAATCAGCAGCTTCATACCAGTCTAGACTAGTTTGTATACTCACCAGTGCTCTTCTCTAAAATATCTTCTGCTGATGTTGATTGATCAACTTGCATATCTTCAGTTTGCATTACTGATTTTGGTGTTGTGATCAAATTATCATCAACTTTAGCAATGTGAGGATGACTTTCAGTATCTTTTTCCTGATCAGAAAGATTTGACAATGCAATGGTTTGTGGAATGTATTCATCTCTAGTCCGTTCATTCTGAATTGTTGCTAAATTTATAGGTTCATCCGTTAATACTGGAACGATATCTTCAGCAAGACGAGTTGATTTTGAACTTAAATCTAATGAAATATTGTCATTCATAATCAACTGACTTTTGGGTGATTCATCTTCCACATTATCGGTTAGGCCTTTAACTTCTAAAAGTTCTGCTGTTATAAGAAACGATTCCAACTGTTCTTGAAAGATGTTCACTTCTCCATGATACATAAAGTTGATGATAGCGTTTAGGTCTTCATATTTAAAGTTTCTAAAGATTATCACAGGATGCTGACAAGGGTTTTCTTTGAAAATTTGTTTGAAATAGCTGCTACAAGCAGATAATAACATTTTATGAGCCTTTATTTTTCCACCATCACAACACAGTGTGACATCAACTAAATCGTTTTCAAATCGTAAAACATTAAATGCTTCTGTAACATGAGTAACGTAATTATTCCAACGCAAAGAGAACTGCGGTGCATTATTCATTCTATAAAAGACTGAAACAATAAGGAAATATAATTATAATTGGAATTTTTCAATAATTAAATAAGAAGATAGCAGAAACAGATAAAATCAAATCTCACGTCAGTTGACAAGATAATGACAAAAATGATAATTTGACATAAGTAAAAGCCATTTTTTTTTATACAGACAGTGGGATCGATTCTGAGACGCAATTTATCTAAATTCCTCTTAGAATTAAAATTTCAATTTGTTATTAGAACGAAATATTAATTCTAAGAACCAATTTGCACTAAATTTCTATTAAATTTAAATCGAAATTATTAAAATAATTAGTTTATTATAATTTATAAAACAGTAGTTCCGAAAAACTATCAAATTTAAATATTAATGTAAAAAGAATAATGCTTCAGAATTGACTATACTAAACTGAAATATAAACACTTCCATGTACATAGATATTTTTATTTTCTTAGCTATCTATCTATGGTACGGGAAGTAAGGTAACGAAGCGTCCACAAGTTACTAAAGATACTAATTCTAAGAACAAGGAATTAATTAGAAGGAAAAATAAAATTAAAACTGTAAATCATATGATTGCCTCCTTTCTTCTTATGCAAATATAATTAGTAAAAAGATCACGAAAGATAACCATAAGTTGCTATTTTTGTTAATTTACAGCAGGTTAGTGTATAAAAAATGTTATACGGCCGTATAACCCTACCAAATTCAGATACAACTTGCTTACATACTTATTACATTACTGTGTCGAATATATAATCTAGTAATGTAAAACTTGTCATTGATAAATAATTGACATATTGATAAAAACGATATAAACCATAGGGAAATATTGGTTTGATTCAACTAATAAAAATAGTAGAAAGGGAATGACACAATCTTAAGTAAATGATAGAAAAACAAACCTATTTGTAAAGAGTTTCGTATACTACACTAGTCATAGCTGGAAAGAAGCCATATAGTATATTTAAAAAAAGAAAAAGAATGATTTGAATTTTTTCATACCATTCTTGTATCTCTTCATATAATGTATTATAACTTTAATTTTGATATGTAAATAAATATAAAAAACACTATCGGAATCATAAAAGTGGTATCATTTTAGAATACGTCGTTTAACACATATAAAACATTTTCTGTATACTAGCCTATTATGAATTGAGAAAAATAGCAACTGATGATGTATCTTTCGTCCTCTTTTTACTAATCATATTTGCATAAGAGGAAAGGAGGAATCCATCTAATTTACAGTTTTTATTTTATCTTTCTTTCTATATAATTCCTTATTTTTAATTCCTTCTATGTAATTCCTTTTTCTTAGTTCCTTCTATGTAATTCCTTGTTCTTAGGTTTCAGGCAAAGATTTCGGAATTGGTTTCAGAGGCCTGATTTTGGGCTAACCATAACTCTGACTATTATGACGTCTATGCAAGATGGCCATGATCCATCATGTTGAAATTCTTTTTTAAGCTTATTAACATAGTTTCATATATGGGGGGAAAGGAATTGTTAGTAATGGCTAGGTCCATGTCCATCTCCTCACGGTACCCCCTAGAAACTATCATGGTTAATTCCTGATGAATTCATCATGATCGGCTAACTGGCCTATTTTCATTCTCATCAATCACCCTTCACTTATGCTCCGCCAGCGTATTCAGTTAGCGCAGGCGAAGTTACCATTTCCATTTTCATCCATCAAAAAAAAAACATAGTTTCATAGAAAAACGTCATTCCAACCTTGTGTAACTAACATACTAGCTTCTAATGTAGAGATTTGATCAGGAAACATCATGGCAACGTTTAGTTAAATGAGAAAAGCACAATAGTACCAACCTAACTAACAAAAATACTGTCAAATTTGTTGCAAATGGCTGTCATTTAAATTATTCGTGGAACAGTTTTAGCTTTGTATTTCATATTTTTTTATTTTGACGTAGAAATTACAACTAAATATAATTAAAATTTTATTTATTACGAGATCCACTCCAGAAATTGACCAAATATTACAGGAAATGTTGAAAACTTGTGTTTACTGTTAATAATATTACGAAATTGAAATTTCAAGGTAATATTTTATAAAATATTAAATATATTTAAAAAAAAAATGTTAATCGAAACATGCAATTAGACATATAATTTATATATTTCTTCTATCATATGATTCGCGTTTCTGCTATCAAACTATAGTATAAATATAACCTATTTTGAACATCAAGTTGGCCAACATAACGAAATAAAGGAGAATTTTATGTTGATTGGTGAGATATTCCTGACCAAGTCATTTTACATAGCTTGTATGAAGTGAGCACTCTTATTCTTTGGTTATATATTCCTTCTCTTTGGTAGCGATGCGCGAACCCGAATGGTATTGTTATTCGATTAATAATTACTAATTATATAATTCACCTACTAAATTGGTAGCCGCATTCGAATGATTTTACTAATTATTAACTACTTACCACAAAGTCCTTTCTCAGTATGTACTGACTATTGAGTTCATAACTCCATTATATTCATTACTACTAGATAACTATGCCAATACATCAACGACTATTAATGAATGATATTCGAACGACATTAGTAATCCGCTGACATTAGTACTCGGATGAATACAATTATTAGTGAAATGATTTGAAAATCATTCGATGAGCATTTCATTTGAATAAACCGAATAAAATGCTTAGGCGAATAATTAGTATAGTCGCGCGTTGCTACTCTTTGTACATAGTGATTATTTTCTTTGTGTTTTGAACTTAATCACCTGAAATTCCTTTACTCTATGTAAAATTGCAAATTTATTTCAATTACAAAAGAAATTTGATAAAATGAAGAGTTTTTTAATTTGATTAATTTCTTGCCTTAGCAGTATACGATTGTATTGAAATAGATGTTTAATTAAATATAACATCATATTGTCCAGTTCTTCGGGTTCAACCAGTTGTCTGCATTCTTGAAATAAATATGGTATGATTCCTCTTTATCTATATATGTTAATAATATTGGAGTTTTCTATTGAAAAACTTAATTTTATAATAAAAATGTAGCTTATAAGGGTGCAAGAAGACCTAAAAAAAATAATAATAGAAAAATTGTAACGTAGTCAGAAATGATTTTTAAATAAATACAAATAACAGCGCAAAAATTTTACATCAATTCTTAATAAAAAAATGATGTAGACTATTTTTCTCAATTTTCATTTTATGTTGTTTATCTTATTCCTAACAATGTATTTTATTATAATAATTTTGGGTATAAATGCTTATATTTATTAAACTTTTACAGCATGGACGAGTGAAAGTTCGAACAACAGAGGAAGAGAAGGCTAGAAAGGAAAAAGAAAAGCAAGAAAAATTAAAGGTTTTCAAACATGCAATGCAGAAAATTTGGGATAAGGTATGATTAAGTAATAATCAGATATATTAATTAAAAAACAAATTACTGAATCTAATGAATTTACTTATATATTTTAAATTTTTAGAGGAAAAAAGAAGAACTGGACTTAGAATTGATGGAATTGACTGGGAAAGTTCTTACATCCAACCCTGATATTTATACATTATGGAATATAAGGAGAGAGATTTTAAATATTTTCAGGTAAAGTATAAGTTTTTGTTTTTTTTTTATCAGTGGATTTTATTTCAATGGCAAGATGCAAATGGCAGATGGCAAGGCACCAGTGATGAGCCATCGTCTAGAATGGTGATCCAATAATGAACTTTTCATGCATCACTTCCTTTTACATACTGTAAAAATGTAGAACAAAAACGCCAACAGTGGAATTTCAAGAAAAGAACTTATACCTATTAAATTATTAATAGTTTAGTATGTATATGCTACTGTGATACTATACTGTAATAGTAATAAATTCAGAAGATTAAAGTATTATGTCTTTTTTTGCACGAATAAAACCAGTATTTCTTGTTTGTAAATGAAATATTTGTTGCATTACAATTACATTACTATACATTATAACATGACAAATATATATAGATACTCATAATGTAATCTTAATCCCATGGTTGAGTTTTTCACTTTATATCAGCTTGGCTGCTATTCCAATTTCAAAAATGTCTTCTGAGTTTTACTAGCATTTTTGTATAATTATTTAATCTCATAAAATAATTGAACATAGGAATATATATTGTAATATGTCACATTTTCAGAATTTTGCTATTTGGTGAATAGATGGAGGTGTTAGGAGGTGCTATGTACATACTAAAATAACTTATATTTACACATGATTAATGTAACATATAGTTATTGATAGTAAGCACATAAAATCTTTATTTCCATTCATTTATATAGCTATATATATATTTACTTATTAGGGAAAGTACAACATATCGCTTTCATCTATTTATGACCACAATTATTTCATATCTTTTAATTTGAAATCCTATATCTTAATTATGAAATATCTGAATTATTTAATAATTCAGAATTCTCCTAGGTGTAATGCATAGTATGTTAAATCATCCAATGTTATTAAAAAAATTAAGTTAAATCTGATTTATCTATGATTATTTATGTTAACAGGAATATATCAATTGACTGGGATAAGTAGCCTATATCCATCTTCATTCTGAATAGAATACATATGACAAATTTTATCTATTGTTCAATGGATTATTAAAGAATCGAAATATAATAAATTCACTTTTATATTTATAATATTACCTAGTCAAGATTTAGTTATAATAAGTAATATTTAAATCTTACAGAAAAGATATGGAAAGTGAGGGACAACAACTGGTTGATTTATATGACGCAGAGTTACGATTAACTGAATATTGTTTGAAAATTAATCCAAAATCGTACTGTGCCTGGCATCAAAGAGAATGGGTGTTAACAACAAGATCAAATCCTGACTGGAAAACAGAATTGGCTTTATGTAACAAATATTTGAAATTTGATGAAAGGAATTGTAAGTAACACTGCAATATTAATTAATTTGAAGATTTTTATATAATATATAGAGAATATTTATTTATGTATTTTTAACCGACTTCAAAAAGAAGGAGGTTTCTAATTCTGATATATATTTTTTGTTTGTTATTGTTCCATTATAACTCAATTAGTTGTGAACCAATTTTTAAATTCTTTTTTTTTGTTTGAAAATATACTTACAGATTAGTACTAAAGAAATTTTATCAAAATTGGTTCAGTAGTTTACTTTTAAAATCAAAATAACTGGTTTTACTATAATTGAAGTCAGTTTTTTTCTGTGGAACACAATATTATTCTTATTTACAGTAGTAACATATAATTGCTGCCATTATGGCAGACTGTGATACCTTTCTATAGCAAAGTAGGTTTGGTACTGCATTATTTTATTTTTATTATATAATAAAAGAGCATGATTGAAAATGGTTTGCTCTCGTTTTATATCATGATAAAATTATGCTGTGCAATAATAAATTATAAAAGTGCCTTGTAGATGCCTTTGAGTACCATCTGGAATGTAATGTAAGCCCCCAATTGGAAGCTTTTCCTTTTACTCCTAAAAACTCTGGAAATCTTACTGCACACAATCTATTTATTTATTCAGCTTTCAATCACTCATATTAAATACATTAGGTCCATTGTTGTTTGGTTGATCATTGATAGTTCACTTATTGTACTCTTTGCTACCATTCTTAATATAACACAACTACCTTCTTTGTTGAGTCAGGCTTGGATTTGATCAAGTTCATTGTATGAACATGTTGCCACAAATATTTGAAAGCAAAATGAAACTATCTAAAAAATTTGTAACAGTTTATGACTATTCAGTTTGTTGTATAGCCTATAACACTCCAGCAAGTAAGAATATGACAAATATAATGAAATTTTGATTTATTGTTATCAATTAAGTTTTTAAGCTATATATACATTAAGCCAAATATGCGGACCTATGTTAACGGATGGTGGGTGGACAGCATTTTTTTTATTAACAGTTTGGTGAATAATATTATATGGCAAATCTAAGAAGAGAGATGTCTCACCACTTGTATAGCTCATTTACAAGTGAGATCTCATTATTTCTATATTGTTTCTCTCGTAACATACCTGCACCTAATTAATGTATTATCTATTAGAAGTTACAGTTACCCATTATATTGTATATATATTATGTACTTTGCAGTTCACACTTGGGATTATAGACGATTTGTAATTAGTCAGTGCAAGCCATCTTTAAAAGAAGAATTTGATTACACAACTGAGAAATTGCTAGATAATTTCTCTAATTACTCTGCTTGGCATTATAGAAGTAAAATATTAGTGGACTTACATCCGGATTTAGAAGGTAAAAATCAAATATAATATATGTAAATTAATATTTAATCTACAAAAAATGTAGATATGTTATTAGGGGTGACTCTAGACAACCACACATCGTCTGCATTCCCCTTTTCGAAATTTAAACATTCAATGCTGATACATGTTGTTTTACAATTTTTATTGTTTAAGAGTACATTAACTTTTTGGTTTGATTTTATTAATTACGATTGAAAACATGAATAAATTAACTAAAATTAAAAAGAAGTTGTTAATTTCAATGTGTAATGAAAATATTTGGTTTCTACTGTTATTCTTACATATGACTGTTGTTTTACAGATTTTTTTGACTTGATTTGACTTTTAATGTACTTATCTATAATTTTATTAGTTCATGTTTTATATATTTATCTTTTAGCCGGCCGACCAATAGAAGACGAACATCACAAGCATGAGCTAAAAATGGTTGAGAGTGCAGCATTCACTGACCCAGATGATACTAGTGCATGGTTTTATCAAAGATGGTTACTAGGTGAAAATATTTTAATTAATTTAACATTGTATTGTATTGTAAAATTTTTATTGTACATAATTTACATTAGATACTGAAAAAAAAATACAATAGTGAACTTATCTCATAGGATAGAGAGATCTCTTAAGTCAACCATTGAGAAGCTGCAAAAAAAAAAAAAACTAGAATGTTCGAAGATAAAAACTTTACAGATAATAATAAAACTTAATAATATTTAATTGAAATTAAACATATGTTACACTAATAAGTAATCCTATATATCTACTTACGTAAATAACAATAATACATAAATAAATAACTAATAAAATACATTATTCTTAAGTGCACTTTTTAGATTTACCTCATATTCGAAATAGTGTATGTTATACAACTTTTTATAATGAAAGAACTATGTTACAAGACAGCAGTTTTTTTACGGGATTTGTATTTTTCTTGAAGTTTTATTAATTTTAATCTATTAGTACTAAGTAAGTCTAGAAAGTACAAACTTCAGAGAAGTGATCTTTAGTTAATCATTATTGATATAATTATTTTAGAGATTCATATATAGCATACACACATGAATCTCTAATATAATATTTATATCTTGTTTGATAGGATAGTCCATATAGGCTGTTCATCTCCATTTTGTTGAGCTCCATTTAACGTCGTCTTTAATTTTTATCACGTGCGATTGCTATCCGTCAACAGAAAAAAGAACACCATGTATGTCATGAGTACTTTGCTACTCCAGCCCTTACAATTAAGACTTCAATATTTTTCACTTACAAATTGCTATATAAATCTTTTTAATAATATACCTACTAATTTTTTCATTGCAGGTGCAGTAAAAACCACTGTCGACCTTGTAGTATGCACTATAAGTCCATTAAAAACTACAGTGGCGTTTAATGAACCAGTTTCCAAAGATTATGTTCAAATGACAACCAATTTACTCATAAATGATGTATCTGTCAATGGTGAATGGTTACCTTGTGAGGGTAAAAAATATAATAATGTATGGATATTTAAACATAATGAAATAATTGGGGATAATTTTGATATAAAGGTACAGGAATGTATTTTTAAACATAACACCATACTATAAGTAGGCGATCCTCAACAACACAAAAATAGCAAAATTCGTTATCTCCTGTTCCCGTGGGAAATATAATCCTATGACTATTATAATACGAGTATAATTATTATACTCTTACTCTGCCACCATCCTAAATATCTAAGACCATATGTAATTTATAATAATTAAATTGATCATTCATAGTACATGGTTGAAATGGCGGATTTAATGTTGAATAGCGTTCTGTCCTCCTCAACCTTTATATTATTTTCATTTCTTGCCAAGTAATATTAAGATATGATTTTTTTCAGGTGGAATATAATAGAGAAAATGTTGATAAGCTCACCATATTATGCATACAAAAAAATTCTTTGTACATTGGAAGAAATAATATAAGCTTTCAAAGAAAATATTCAGAACCAGTAATCAAAGAATTAAAAAAACAACTTGATTCATGTCGTCAGCTTCTAACCATGGAACCAGATAACAAATGTAAATTAAATAATGTATAGAAAAACAACAAATGTAAATTAAATAGAGTATAGTAGACTACAGCATGGGGTTCTTCAAAAGGGGGGTAAAGAGGTTTCTTCAGGTTCGGCAACGCACGCGTAATACCTCTGGTATTGCAGGTGTTCATAGGCTACGGTAACCACTTACCATCAGGTGGGCCGTGTGCTTGTTTGCCACCTCAGTGGTTTAAAAAAAAAAAAACATTGGATTAGATTATTATTATAGGAAATTAATGAATGTGTTTTGATATAGCTGATAATCTTCTTTCACTAATTCATGTAGTGATCTCCGACAGTCTTGGAAACATTCTCCAAGCTTGTGACAAAGTCTACCTTTTGTTTATTGTTAGGGTGACTACTAATTTCTGTTGTTTCATGAATCTTATAAGAATAAACAGCTCTTTCGCGGGACTTGTCAAAGCGTTACACCAGAGGATAAAGCGTGCTCGGTCATAGACGATGCATTAAGATAATATTTCATAATCTTAATGAACCGACATTAAATAGGTTTTTAATTTGACCACATTTTTTTGTTTTACCTAATGTCGTCGCCATAATTAAACCGATTTTAAATATTCTTTTCATCATCTGTGCAGATTATTATAGTATTTTTTCACGTTTCGGAATTAAAATTGTTTTTACTTGTTTACATAACAATTTCTTTTTTATTTACAGGGACTCTCTTGACGACAACATTTCTCTTACATTGTATCAACGCAAAACATTATCATAATGAAGTTATAGACATTTTAAAAACATTACAAATTAAAGATAAAATGCATGCAGGGTATTATGGAGATTTAATAACAAAGTGGAGTATAGAACTGCAATTAGAGGATGACTATAGAAATGAGGAATTAGAGTTAAAAGTAAAATTTGCAGAGAAGATATCATCCTTACCACATCTCCATTATTATAGCTTTTGCGAAAATGTCAATTTATTTAATCAGAATTTGACATCACGTGTATTGTCTACTTTGTCAGTTTTACAACATTGTAAGGTACATATCAATGTTTCTTATAAAAGTTTTAATCGCAGGCCCTTCTACTTAACCCGGGGCTGCAAGGGGTGTGTGACATCCGAACGTAGAATCCTAATGGGTGCAACCTACCTGATTCGTACTCGTCATACCAAAATAAATTTTTAAAGATAAGAAAATTGTCAGTATTGGGGACTAGCTACCCTATTACTAATAAATCCTTATTGTTCATTATGGGCCAACAGACCGGATTTCATTCTCCTTAGCGCAGACGTGGCTAACTTTCCATTTTTATTAATTAAGATTTGCAACTTTACGCTGCAATTAGCACTAACAAAACAAAAATCAAATGGATGTTCATTGCGCTCTATAGGGGCAGTGTCTCCCTAATGCTTGGCTATTTAGGCAGTGATTTTAATAGATTTATTAGTTTTTACAAGACTTGTTATTATGAAATGTATATTTTTATCTATACACGCACCCAGTTGTAAATACATGTACGTAAGTCGTAATTTTTTTTATACGACTTAGAATGGCAACAAGTAATTAATGTGATTAGCTTTTCCTTACTTTAATTCGTCCATATCTATAATTAAACAGGACCGGAGCATTAACTTGTTCCCGATAATTTTTATATTGTAATCACCAAAAGCACACCTTATCAAATTAAAATTAAATTGTTATAATATTGTAGATAATATTAATTTTATTTTCAGAAATTATCATTGGAAAATAATAATTTGACTACACTAAAGGGATTTCCTTCTTTAAACCTGGAAGAATTAAATTTACGAGGAAATAAAGACTTAGACATGAAAGAGGTAGAAATATTCAAGCAACAAAATAATTATAATGTTATTTTTTGATGATTTATGTTATATTTATGACTATTTTTAGTAAAATTATTTTACATTACCTATATAAATGTAATAATATTATTGTCTATGTATTTAATATAATGCATTATCGGTTAAAATAATTATGTATTACATTTTTGTAATAAGTTTACATTTTAAAAATACGTGGGACACTCAGAAAGTTTTGCGACACTAAAAATGTTTTATAGGTATATATATTTTTATTACATCTTTTCAAAGTACTCTCCACCAACCTCTATACAGTTTCATGCGTCTGATCCCGTTTTCGAAACACTTTTTCCAGTCCGTCGCAGACAGCCTACTCGAACGCTGAAAGCGCATCATCCAGCGACGAAAATTGTATCCCTCTGAGCTGATTTTTTATTTTTGGGAATAAGAAGTCACACGGTACTAGATCAGGGTTGTAAGGAGGGTGAGCCAGGAGTTTGACCGGTGTGCTGTCTAGGAAATCCCTCGTTTTGATTGCAGTGTGGGCGGGCGCATTATTGTAGTGGAGCAGTAGCCCGCGGAGCCCTGTGTTTGGTCGCTTGTTGCTCACAACGGAGAAAACTTCTGCCAAGCATTTGGTAGTATATCATTCGGCGTTAATGCTTCTTTGGTTTCAGGATCGGGAAGGAATTGACACCAAGTAGCCAGTCAAATTGAAAGCTCGCGGTCAAAATCTTCCCCCCCGCTTCTAGGTCGTTTTACTTTGGTAGGCGTTGATTCGTTTTGAAACACCCAAACCGTCGACTGGCGCTTTGTTTTTGGATCGTATTGATAAATCCAAGATTCATCACCTGTAACGATGTCGTAAACACGCCGAGACGAGCCTGCTTCAAATTTGTCTATCATATAATGGCACCATTCCACCCTTGCCTGCTTCTGAATATCGGTGAGGTTGTGCGGCACCCAGCGTGAAACTGTCCTCCGCACCCGTAGATGGACGTGTAGAATCTCGTGAAGGCTTCCTGATCCAATCTGCAGTATATGCTGAATCTCTTGGTATGTAACTCGTCTATTGTCTTGGATCAAATTTTTCACTGCTAGCACGTTTTCTTCCGTAACAGCCGTCAAAGGATGATCACTTTTTTCTTTATCCCCCAAAGTTAGTCGACCGCGTTTAAATTTATTAAACCAATAATACATGGTTGCCTTAGAAGGGCCTTCATCCATGAATGTCATTTGAAATCTATCGTACGATTCGTCCAGTTTCAGGCGACACTTAAAATCGTAAAAATCATAGCGCGAAAGTGTTCTCGATGCAAATCCATTTTTCAATGAGACACGGTAATTTTAATTAGCTCGCAAAAAATGTGGAGGGAAGTTTTGAATTTAGAACGTACCCATTTTTACTTATAAGTAAGTAATCATATTTTTAAATAAACTAGCCAGTCACACATACATAAAAACTTTTTCTCGCAATACTTTCTGAGTGACCTGGTAAATTTTACCTATATTTTTATGTCAATTCTTATGTTGAGAAATCTAAGTTTTGTAAAAGAAAGTACCTATGGCTTTCCCATACTTGACAATGCCGTCATGAACAAACTTTTTGGTCGAAAAAAAAGTTAATATTATCGTATAATTAAATATCTAACTAATGAATGAACATACTTTATTGGCATTATACAGCATAGGGAATAAAAGAACACGAATAATTACAATGGATTCAATTGTATAAATATTATGAGGCGGCCTTATTGCCGAGCACAATCGGATTGAAGCAAATATAAGTGTATATGAGATGGCTTGTGATATTCAACTGCCTTTTCTCGGATATTAGTAATTTTGTAATAATGACTATATGTACTACTAATAAAGCATTTATTAATTATTACATAAATCTTTTGTATTTTTTCACGACACTACCTCAATAGAAATAAAGTTGGTACGATCGTGACGTATATAACGACTTGTATAGAATAAGAACGGAATAAAATATAAACACGATGCTTTGCTTAAATGAGTCAAAGTTTGATTCTTGGTGTGGCCAATTTAGGAAACGAACTTTTCTAATTTAAACAGGTTGTGTATGATCTAGGTTATAAGGATTGTGGCCAAATGTATTGAATAATAATTTGAGTATTTTTTTGAAATTCTAATATAAAAGGGAATTATTTCTCTGTTGTGTGAAGAAGAGATAAAAATATAAGTATGCTCTTTTATATGACACGTGCAAATGTATTTGTTTTAGGTAGGGACACCTAAACTCCCAAACTTATTAATAAGGAAGGAAGGAGTTTGCCTGCCGAGGTTTTCTATAGACATTATGGAGTTTTTCAAAGTCTGTACTAAGGTTTCTTCAAGGTCGGCAACGCAGCCTGTAACACTCTTAGTATTGTAAGCGTCTATAGGCTAGTCACCGTAAATGGTGACTAGTCTAGACTGTTGACTGTTGTTGTCGAAAGGTTTTCTTATTTCAGTGCGTGACTCATAGGTAAATAAAAGATAAAGAATTAAATGATTATATTTAATTTGTACGATTTCGTAATTCTACCAGATAGTCAAATTGATTAATTTGTATACTGTATCACTAACGGATTTCAATAATTCATCCCCTTCCCAGTATAGATTCCCACAATCTTCACATACAAACACTGGTTTATTTGTTTCTGACAGTTTCTGAACATCATTAATTTCAATTGGCACACCTTTACTAGTTTTACAGTTAGATTGGTGGGTTTGTTTAACTGGTTGTATTTGATAAATGTCATCATCATAATCAGAGTCACTTAAAAAGTTATCGTAATTTGCTTCTTCATCATCATAGTCATCAGTCACATACCTAGTAACAGGTGTTTCTGTATTTGTAGTAGCTTTATAACTATCACACAGATGTAAAACTTCTGTGGAGTCAAGCTTCTTTAGATCTTTGCTATTACATTTCATACAAAATGTTAATAAATTATTTTGCATAATACATATATTAAAATTAGTTAATACTTTTTGTAAGTGTTCTTTAACACTGCCTTTACCTACGTCCAATATAGAACTTTGTGGAAAATTAAGAGTTGGTGAACATTTTAACTTAACAATTAATATTAAACGATCTTCGGATATAGCTAATTTAATTGTGTCACACCATAGCATAGTAGGCTCCATGGCTACTGTGTCTATACCACAATATCGTAAATAAGGCATTAAATTAGATAATGAAAAATCAACCAATAGTTTTACATCTTGAACTGATTTTGTTTGAATATTATGTACATATGATTGAATCCTTTCAATAACTTTGGTCTTTTTTGAGGTTTTCTTTTTTCTTTCTAACATTACATCATTACAAATTTCATCAAAATTGATTCCTTGTTTTTGACATAAATTTTGGAGAAATTCATAAATTTCTACAAGAACATAAGCATCTAAGGCTGCATATAGAATCTGTGTATCTCTCAGAGGTCGAAGTTCCCAATTGGAGCACTGTTCAGATTTCTCCAATGGTAAACCAAAACAGGATTGAACTAAAGAACTGAGACTATTACCTCCATTGTCACTGTTACCAGGCAAAATAAGACCATTGTTCAATAGGCTTCTCCAAAGTAAACCTAGATCTAATAAACCTTCTCCTTTCACTTTTATATTTCCAAGACCATTTACTGAAGCTTTTATTTCTTTTAAATCTTGCTCTAGTCCAAATCCTAACTTAACAATTTCTGCATTATCTAAGAATGACTTATTAAAAGTATACCAAAAGCTAATATATTGTTGCTTATTCAGTAACAATGCATCTATCAAGTAAACATTATTATGAGTTGCAACCTGAACCAATGCAACCTGTGACTGTGTTGCACCAAATGATGGCTTCCATTCACAATCAATACTGACTACATTACAAGTAGCTAAAGTTGAAACCATCAAATCATAAAACTTTTCACCTGTGTCAATAATTACAATTTGTTCAGGAAGTAATGAAAACTTATAATAATCATGAGGAACATTTAAATCTGTTTCCCAATTCTCTTCTGGAGCTTCTTGCAACGACATATTCCTTAAAGCTAAAGGTAACTTATTTTTTGCTATATTGAGATATGAAGCCCATTTTAGGGCTTCATTTCTATCATAATCTACTAACATGTCAATAAATTCGAGAGCAGAGTCTGCATTTTGATTCAATGAATCCTTCACTAAATCTTCCCAAACTGATGAACTTACATTATGTTCTTGATACTTTTGGTGTATCAAATACTTCAGTCCACCTGTCGTACGGTTTTTGCTGAGATTTTTGCATGTTTCTATAGGTATATTAAATTTATTGCACAGACGGGCCACTAATTTACCTAATGGTTTATAATGAATTTTATCATATTTAACATGACAAATTTTATTGTCCTCTATATATTTCTGTACAAAATCTCGGGTCCTAAAGTTCTTGTCCAGTAACTTATCTAAAAATACCAGAAGTGGTTGCACTTGATTTGGGCATTCAGATAAGTATTCATCTATCATGCTAGTCTTGTCTTGGAGTATTAGAGGAAACAACAGATTTTCAACTGGTATATCTTCAAACAATTCCATTGCCATAACTATCTGTGATGCTTGTTTACAATTGTCATTCTGTATCATATCTTTTACAATAGGTAAAATAGTTTCTTTGATTGCAGATATCTGATATGTTTTTACAACCAAATTCAAAAAATGTTGATTTCTTTGCTGAATGGCTATGTGAAAGGCGGGCAATTTTACCGATTCTTCTGGCAAAGATCTACTTGTTACCGACCATTTCTGGAGTGTTTCAACAATATAAAATGGCAGAGATTTAGGCTTGCAATCTTTACATTCTTCACATTTTATAACAAAAACCAGTGCAACTCTATAAGGGTCAAGAACTGACTGAAAAAATATTTCGATGCTGTTCTCGATAGTTGGGCTCTTTTTCCACGTCCTCCATGCCGTTTTCAATTGCTTAAACCAGATACTACTGTTTTCATCCAAGTCCACGTTTAATCCAATGTTGCGTAAAGAATCCTCAACCGATGGAACAATTTTAATAGATTGATTTTTGCTCACAAGTTCATTTAAATCCATTTTATTCATTGTGAATTTGTTATAATAATGACAGTAGGTGTGCACTTTCACATTTAAATGTATTTTAATGAAGGTAATTGTAAAAGTATTTCTATTATCTTCGTTGATTAACGTTCAGTGCCTTTTATCGCACGTATAAATGTAAAATAAATTCAATTAATTTACATGAAATAAATCCTAAATGTGAGAAATATGAATGAAAGAAATGGAAAGAAAACAAGAAAATTTTTTGTTGATTTAATCATTTGACAGTTTGTTTCATAGATTACAGAGACTTGAGGCCGATTCTGAGGTGAGATATCTTTTAAGTTAATATTTTAATTGGTTAATTTCGCAAAATAATTGCTTTACGGGCTATAATAAACAAAAATTATAATAAACGTGTCTTATATCTATTACGAAATTAGTTTTATTTATTTTAATTAGTCCTTACAATTAAGATTTTGCTGTAACATTAAATAGAAATTTTAATTTTAGGGATATAATGTGCAAATGATGCTTCAGAATCGACCCAATTGTCTGACCCAATTAACTGACAATTCACACAATGCATGTTATCCACAGATTAGAGAGATTATAATGTTATATCTTATACGTCCACAGATTAAAGGTAATGTAAAGATACAATAAATTAACGAATGCAATAAGCCGTTATATATGCAGTTATAATAATTGTATACAAATTTATAATATAAATGAAAACAAAAAAATTAAAAATATTTTTTGAAAACGATAGACGAAAAACGCAGAAAATAATATTACATTGTCTTTAATTAATTATAACAAAAGTTTTTAATTTTTATCTTATTTTTATTACAACGTATGCATTATACACGGTTGAGCAAAGACCTCTTCTATGTATATTACGACATGAAGTAACATTTTGAATTCCAGCAAAATATATGAGATTTGTATGATATGTATCGTCAATACCTATATCAAAAATAAGTTGATTTTATCTTTCTCGATATGGCGTATCATTTCCGATTAAATTAAGGATATCTAGTTATTTTAGAACAATTGTTTTTCTATTTTGAAAAATCTTAGATATATTCTACTTTTTTTGTTGACATGAATATTTTTGGAGTATACGTTTTGTGTATATTACTATACAATATTATATAGCATATTATATAGCTAATTGTAAATCGATTTTTGTCATATTGATCGTTTCGGTTTTTAAAGTAGGACATAACATTAAAGTATATATGTATATATTTTAGTATATTCGATGTAATTGCATCAAAATATGGATTCAAATATATAAAATTTTAGAGATGTATATTCACTACAATAATAGTAATGTTAATTAAAGATGGGCTAAAATGAAATATTCAAAGTCGTAAATCTATTTTCAAAAAGTAACATAAAAAAATGTTAACAGGAATATCCAAAGCCGTAAAACTGTTTTCGAAAAAAAAAAAACAAATGTAATGAATGTCAAAACTGAAAAGTGCTGACTAAATTTCCATTTCATTTAATATTTTTAATTTTTAAATTGTGTCTTAATAAAACGCAATATTAAAATTGAGGTGTTCTTGTATTGAATAATTATTTTTATATAATTAATAAAATGGAACTTTCAGCAGAAGGCAAAACCCCTGAATATATGGCATTAGCTGGCATCAAATTTAAACTTTCTTTGCCCCAACTAAAAGATAATGTTCAGCTGAAAGAAGAGCTTTTTCAAGGCATCAAGGCTGGAAATATGGCTCCATATTATAAAGAAGTTTGTACTGATCTTGGATGGCCATTGGATCAAAAATTATACGATGAGATGGCAAAACAAAACCAAGAGAGGTTAGCAAAGTTTGAAGAAGATGATTCTGAGACTCCAGTGTGGCAAGACAGGTACAATGTTTTCATATTTATATATACATATAAATTATACGAGATTATCTCATAAACCTCTATTAACTCTTATTTGAATAGTGGGATTTTTTTTATTCTTTTCGTGTTTTGTTATCAGCTTAACATTTGGTTTAAGATTACTTTTTAAACAGTGATTGTCAAAGTTAATTATTTTATATGAAATTAAAAAATAATTATATTCATTTGTTTTCAGATTGGACTACCTTTGTTCTATTGGTGACAAAGAAGCTGCTACAACATTAGCTACTACAAAGTATGAAGATTCTACATTAACCACTAACAGAAGGCTTGATGCAGTTTTTGCACTGTTCAGAATTGCTTACTTTCATGGATGTAATGTTAAGGACATGGGAAAAGCTGTCAATAAGGTAATTTATCATAATCAATAAATCAACTATTATTGAAATAATTTATTATTGTTATTTCAGATCTATCTTTATATAAATTATATTTATGTAATTTCAATGTTTTTGTGTGATTTAATGGCTAAAATTAGCATATGTTGCTTGAACTTATTACAAAGCCTGATTTAAAATATTAATCCATTAATTAAGCTTGTTGTTACAAAAAATTCAGTACAATATAATAAGAGATTTTGTTTTTTCCTCTCTAAAATACTATTTTTTTATTTATATGGAAATAAAACTTCTATGATAATATGGATAGTTGAGAAAGAAGAAAAAACATCTAAAATGTTTCTTGAGTGAAATTTATATATTTTTATTTTTTAGGCTCATGAATTGGTAGACAAGGGTGGTGACTGGCGTTCAAGAAACAAATTGAAGGCTTATGAAGCTATATATTGCTTAGCTGTTAGGGATTACAGTCATGCTGCAGAGCTATTTATTGATTGTGTATCAACTTTTGAGTCTTATGAGTTGGTAGATTTTGGTAAGATATTTTTAAAATTATTAATAGTTCATTAGTTACAGGTTTCTCTATTTAGTCAGCTTATTGATTGAACAGTAACAACAATAGGTTTCTAGTGGTTTAAATTTTCCAATAGAAATTTGCTTGTAACAGAGCTAAAATATATTTTTCTTTCATCAGATATGGTGCAGGCACTTAATTGTGAAATATTTTCTATTGCCTATATAGAATCATGGTACAATTATTTATAATTAGACTTTGTAATTATTGAGTCTAAATTAATATAGAATGAATATGAAAATTTAATTTTAATATTTAATATATTATTAAAAACATGGAAGTGGTTTTGAGCCCTCATACACTCTCAGTTACACAATATTAATTTTAATATTGTGTAACTGTTTTAACTATATTTATAGTTAAAATTTTATATTTCTAAAACAATAATTTTTAATTATCCTTTTTAGGAACTATTATTCAGTATTGCGTGTTAGCTTGTGCATTGGCATTAGAGCGCCATGCATTACAAGCAGCTCTTCGGAGGCAAGGTGCAGCTGTTCAAGCTTTACGTTCTAGATTTCCTGAATTAAGGGAATTGGTTGAGTCTCTCCATGAATGTCGTTATGCTGATTTTATGAAGAGTCTTGCATGGGTGTGTGTGTATATAATAATATTATTAAGAAAAATTTATTCATACTTATAAAAATAAATAAGTAGGTGCCTAATAAACTACAAAGATTATATTGTGTTAAGTACTTACAAATATGAAATTATATTATGCTGTTCAATGCCCTCTGATATTAAATTTTTTTACACAAATATGTTAATCATGGTCAAGGTTTATGTTTTACTGCAAATTTTGCTTTTAATTTTATTTTTATCTATTTTATTTTTATATTTCAAATAGACAAGAAATTTTAACTAATATAATAAAATTGTAACCAAACAATGTTTGTATATGGAGACATTCAAGGAAAATTGATATGAAGGGCTAAATAAGAGTATTCATAATAGAAGCAGTGCAATATTTTTTAGAAATTTTGTTTGTCAGTATGTTTGTTCCTTCATCATTTAAAAACTGCTGTAGAAATCAGATGCGGTTTTCAAAGTTGTGTTTCTGGTTAATCTTGATACACCATCAAAAATTGGCCTATTTTATTCTTACTTCTGAATTGAAGGCATTGGAAAAAGCTAGTATTATAATAATTTTTTTTTTAAATAAACAGGTGGAGACTCAGATCTGTGTGGATCCTGTGTTTAGGCCTCATTACCAACATTACGTGCGTGAAGCGCGTATCAAGGCCTATGTTCAATTATTGCGCGCATATCGCTCGCTCAGTCTCGACAACATTGCAGACACTTTTGGTGTGACTCGTGAATTTGTTGAAGAAGAAATATCAAAGTAAGTGCTTGCATGATATTACCATTTTGAAATGAAAAAAAAATTACTTCAGTTATACAGTGTGATGGGTCATTTTTTAAAGACAACATGAGGTCACAGGTCATATATAGGTCAGTTCTGAGTTTTCTGGATAGTCCTTCTAGATAATTTTCGTGCAGTTTCTTGTAATGATACCCAGTGGTGTTGTTTGTTTATTTACAATGTTTATCTACTATTTCTTTAATTTTTAGCTAGTTTATTTAGGTAATTAACATGTATTTTAATAGTAATAATATATTTTTCTTGCCTGGTTTATCCTGCTTTTTTTTTAATGTATGATAATAGTAATAATAATGGTAATCTGGCCTGCGCTAACGGTATACGCTGGCGGAGCACTAGGGATGGATGAAGTATGATAGGTGAAGATGGAAAGCCAGGTCAGTTAGCTCATCGAGATGAATACATCTGCACCTCATGGAGGTCGTCCTGACAGAGTAAATTGCTAGCAATGGAATTGGTAGCCTGCATTACTAATAATCCCTTCCCCCCATGTCCTACAGTTGGGTAAAGGTAAGATAAGGTTGGGTAGAGTAAAGGTGTTCAGAAACATAACAGTCTTACTTTTATGTTACAAAATAAGTTTAATTAATTAAGGCTTATTTATATATTAAATAAATAGTATGATATGTGAATCGTAACTGCAGTACGAGTAAGAACATGATCTCACTAAATTATTTCTGAGTTTTATAATATTTTTTATTGATATAAAAACTATGAAAATGGCCTCTGAAGCTGATAGAATGTCATAGGTGTAATGTAAAGTGTATTTAATACTTTAATAAAATGAACTATCCCCAAAATGTCCTATTATATAAATGCTAAAGTTTGTGAAGATGTATGTATGGACAGATGTTTGTTAATCTTTCACGTAAAAATTATTAAACTGTTTTAAATGAAATTTGGTACACAGATAAATTTTATGGTAACTTAGAAAAAGTCTTATTATTGATAATGTAATAATCTCTAAATACGTGATTGCAGCTTCACGGCAGCAGGCCGGTTGCAGTGCCGCATTGACGCGGTGGCTGGCTGCGTAGTGACTGGCGCCGGCCGAGGCGCCGACGCAGATCGCTCGCAGCTGTACCAAGCCACCATCCGCGAGGGAGACTTGCTGCTCAATCGCGTCAAAAAGTTGGCCAGCGTCATTAACTTCTAACTTGTAAAACATTCAGTATGTTTAGTAGTTTCAAGTGCTCTGGTAGCCGCCTTGTTTCCACCAGCATACAGGTGCAATATGACATTTAAAAACTTGTCACATAGATATTTTAGTACTTGTTTAAATCCTTTTGTAAACTTCTTTTGTCTTGAAGTATAAACAACATTGTATATCTAAGTGTAAAATTTGCTGGTTGCATACATATATTCCTTATCATAAACACGCCAAACCTTTAAAGACCATAGACCATAAAAAAAGATAGGTTAAATTTTGATTTTTGTGAGTAAGAAGGGTGTATTCTAATACATTGTTTGCTTTGGTGGAAACATGGGGTTAAGTAGTCTGAAATAATTCTCTACAGTATATTAGTTGTATGTACTTAGAAATACTTATACCTCTGTATATCTTAACTTCTATTAAATTTTACGCTACTGAACATGTGACTACTCACAATAATATTTTGAATTATTTTTTATGAAATAAGAAACTTAATAAAAATCTCTCTGGTGAATTAGGCGTTTCTATTGTGTAGTCTAAAATCTATTCCAAATTATTTCCCCTCTTAAAGTATTCTGTAATTTGCAATATTCTCCAATATATTTGTACTACAGACATATATTTGGTATGGAGCCTCCATTAATTTTTTCCAGATTTTTTTTACTTTTCTTATCATTACTTTTTCTTAGTAGTACCATCATGTACTCAATTAGTTCCTATTATGTTGTCTTTAAAAAATATATTGATACAAATACTTTTTACATATTTCTATGATTTTGTGTAAATAAATGTATTGTAATGATTAAAGGATTAATTTAATCTTTTTATGGATCATTCAAGATGCGTAATCATATTAAATTGATGAATTTTGATGGTTTTGTTGTACCAACTGCGTAGTAGTGTTAATTATTAGAAATGGGAAATAAGCTGTCCAGTTCAGCTCATCTGATTGTAGGCAGTAATTGTTACCTTTAGACATGAATACCATGGATATCACAATATACTGTAATGCCCCTGTTATGACTTGCCATTTTGGGCGATTAAGCTTTCTATATTCATAATTGTGTTGAGATATATGGTTTGTTACCATTAATTGTGTTTAATATTAAAAAAAGTGCCGAAATAAAAAGGGACATTCAAGGTAAGGATAACAAAAAAGAAAATAATAATTAGTTATAACTGTTTTTCTTTTTTTAAATAATTTGAATACTTTTTGGACATTTACATAAACATTTAATAATTTACAATGATTATTTATACTGACATGACATGACACATCATATTCATGACTAATACTACTCTCTACGATCTATTTGTAATTTGAAAATCAATAATTTGTAGGTGCTATGAAAATTTACTCTAGACAACTAAATTGTTGTACGAGACCTAGCGCCTCACAAGCGTCATTTAATACTAAGAGTGTATGCATGATTTAGAATTTATAAATAATTTAATAGGACATTTATACACATAATATAATTACTATAGTATCGAAAATATAAAACATACATAGTTCGTGAACATAATTTCGTGTAAACTTATTATCAAATCGACTATCAAACTACTACTCATAAGCATTGAGAAATGCACATTTGGAAATAAATACCTATGATCATAAAACTGGATACGGTTGTGGATCAGTCTGCTTTGAGTACCGGCGACATTCTACATTAGTACTTATTACTGTTTAGGAAATTACATTTTCTCATAACACTTGTCGCTCACATTTTTACAAAGATATGTCGAAGTATTCTAAAGCGATATAATAGCTATGACTCTAAATACTTATAACTATGTAGACCTCAAATGCAAATACTTTTTTAATTTACATGATATGAATAGGTATGTTATTAACCTCTGTTATAATACTTATATGTAAGTATTTATGTTTATTAAATACCTTCTCACAACAGGTATACATATAGTAGGTCTCTATTATATGTATATATAGGTATAATATGGTATTCGATACATTTGTGTATTGACGAATCTCCTAACCTTGTCAGTTCAAATGTTTGAATACAATAGGTTGGAATGTGGAGATAAAAATCATGCATATCGCCCGTCCATTATCACTTAGGATAATAATATAATCAAAATTTTCACTTGAATATAATAATAACTATACGTTCATTGCTATTATACAATTATTTACATATGAAAGATATATATTTAGGATTTTAATTAATTTTTGGGATAATTTATATTTATTTTTGATGTCATAGCACATTTGGCTGCATCTACATTAGGTATCCTATCCGATAGTTTCTACCAAACGGCGTTTCAGTTCGTAGGACACAGCCTCTGAATGTGCACTATCACAGAGTAATGACATAAACGCGGGGCTCGCGAGGAGCCCCCGATTGCCCCAGGCCCGTACTCGTGTATATAAGTTACTTAACGTAATACTAGGCGTTATAACACGTGGAATAACAATTTGTTACATAGCACTACACTTTGCATATAATTATGCTATATCAGACGTTTACTCGTCGTAAATTTATCAGTCCCTTATTTTCACATAAGTTTACCTACTACTAATTCTTTGTACAATATAAACATGACACTATCCAGTTGCGAATTACTCGCTGTCTGCAATTGAATTTCTTGATGGGCGACCACCAATTCGATTCGATAATTTTTGGAATGTGTTCGGTTTTCGTAATTCAAATCCGTTTAAACGGTGAGGCCCTCGGTGCGCGCCGGCGGCGGTAACGAAGCCAGGGGATGTGGATGTTGGTGGTGGGGCGCTGGGGGTGATGGTTGCGTAGGCGGTGGCGGGTGTGGTGCGTGGGCGGGCGGGGAGCGGTAGTCATTCTCTTCGCGCATCTGCCTGCTTCGCTCAGCGAGCTCGCGGCCTCGCTCGGCCAACTCTCGCATAGCTGCCTGCCGTTCATCACCACCTTCAAGCGACGGCGGCCTCTCCAGTGGAGATGCAGCCCCAGGCCTTGCGCCACCGAACGCCCCGAAGCCTAGTAATCCAGGGAACTTTCCGGCTACGCCGTTCTGTCCCGCGCTCTGCTGTATTACTGATATTTCGTTCAGCTGTGGGCACAAAATGAAATTGATATATATAGAAATTGTAGGCAGTATCTACCAATGAATATGTCGTATTGCATAGGTATTTCTTTTAAGATTAAATTATTGGTTGGTTGGATTTTATAATAATTATTAACATGATTTATTACTTGCCTACATTTATAGGTTTAAATAAGTGGTAACAAATACAAGGGTAAAACTTTTGATAAATAGAGACAAAATGGGAACAATTTTGAGCAAGGCCGCTACACCGTAGTCAAGAACATAAAACTTCTATAAATTTATCTTAATAAATTAGCTTGATAGAGACGAAGGACTGTTTATTACACTTCAATCTTTTGATAGTGAAATAACCATTAACTACTAACTTACGTACAACTTATCATGTTTCAGTGCTCAATGTGTTAATGTTTTAGCGTTGGAATCAACTTGTTATTTCATGAGTGGAGCACTATGATATTAACCTTTTGCTGCATGCCGTTGAGGAAGGGCGCAGGCAGGTACGGGTAGAAGAGGTCCGGCCTCCGCAGCAGGTCGTGGGGCTCGTGCAGCGGCCGCGGCGGCAGCTCCAGCGACATCCGCCGGCCGCGTCGCGACGCGCCTCCGCTCCACATATGCGTTCCCATGTGCACCTAGTACAATTTATCATTTATTGATACATTGACAAATTTTATAAAAAAAAAATATATACTGCAAAAAACGGAAAACAAATATAAAATGCTGTACAATATATTGTTAATATATGTCTAATTATAATATATTTATAAATATATTTACTTACACTAGTATATAGGTTGCAAGAATACAATATAGAAATATATTTTATATATGATCATCATCATCATATCAGTCTTTAACAGTCCATTAAACTGAACATAAGTCTCCCCCTTGGGGGGTTTTGCCAGTAGTTATCATGCTTGGGAGGCGTATTGGCAACCGCAGTTAGGATTTAGAGATGTTTTAAGAAGGACACTGCTGCGGCGAGGGATGCTTCGCCCTCTTTTGTCGGCTCTTATGACACCCACGGGATAGGAAGGGATGGCCTATTCTATGCCGGGATTATACGGCCAATTGGTCATACAATTTGATAATTAATAAATACATACGCAATAATACATTATTTATACGTACAAAATGACGATGATAGAAATTGATAAGTTCCTTTCATATTATTTTAAAGTGCCTCTGTAATATATATACGTAATTACAATTTTTTCTATTACTATAACTCCAAGTTTCTTTTTATATAATAAGAGTGATATGAAGCTTTCCACTTGATGGTAAGCCGCACTCGCAGCCTATTCATTTGCAATATTAAAAGCACGATGTCGGTCTTGGTGACATATAGTTTTCGATAATGCAACGTGCAGGCATATTTTTATTGTCTTATCCCTCTCTTTTACACTGAACTTGAAACCCGAAATAAACATCGACAAATGGAATTTTACCTTTAAGTTTCCTTTGGTGGTGAAGGCTTTTTGGCAGACTGCGCATCGGAATGGTTTATCGCCTGTGTGCGTGCGCATGTGTATCTGGAGGGCTGACGACGACGAGAAGTTCTTGCGGCACACACCGCATAGGTGTTTTGACGAGGTCGGTGGGGGCGGGTGCGCGGGGGCACTGGGTACTGTACAGCAAAATAATAGAGATTGTAGCATTTCATATTTTGATTTGCGTTTAAATTATTATATATTATTATTTATGATAAATAGATGGTCTAATAAGTTGGTTGTGAGATGTGATCTTTTTATATATTAAATGGAATTAAATGCGATTTAAACAATAATTTGAAAGCAGAATGATGTACGTTCATTTTGCTTCAACTTTGTAATATTCTCCGTGTCTAGATTTCTTGGTGTATATATTTAATAGTATATTTTGATATTATTGCATTTTAATTAATGTAAGTTTACTTCGCGCAGTGTTTGAAAGAGAAGCAAAATTTCTGGAACCGGACTGTATCCATAAGTTATGTGGATAAAATAGGAGATAAGTGTAACTTTTACAAATTGGTTTTATCTATGCATCCTATAAGACTTAGTGTGAAGATCGCTAGTCTGAGCTTACTGGTTGTTTGTTTAGGCAGTGAAGAGTGAGCTGAATTTGAAATTGACAGCCAAGTTTAGAACTTGATCAGCCCTCTTAGACAAAGTATAAGCGAATCTATTGATAAAATCGTTATCGCTAGCGAGTCTTTGAGATAGAATGAAACAGCGACGTGCGTTATCTTATTCTTTCTCATATGAGCGTTACCGCTATATATATATCGGTTACCCGAAGCAATTCTATTGTACCATGTCTAGAGGGCCTGACGTGAAGATAGTTAAATTAAAACTTACCGGTTGGTCGTTTAGGCAGTGGCGGCATGTCGATTGGTGGCACATGAGGCATCGGCGGCGGTGGATGCGCAGGCGGCGACCGCTTCAGGTCCAATTTGTCCGGAGATGACCGCCGGTCTGGACTACCGTCTCGCCC